GGTCCCACCCCCACCTCTTAGTCTCTGCTGGGGATGACCTTCCCCAGCCGTGCTCACCACCTCCCCCTCCTCCCACAGGGGATGCTCAGGTGCCCGGAGCCCTCGGGAGGCAGAACTGTCCCCTCCCCGGGGTATTGGGGGGTGCACCCGGGGGGGGGTGTGATGCAGGGATGAGGACTGCAGTGTCCCATCTGGGTCCCTTTGTCCCAGGTGGGGACCGGGGTGGGGGGCTGGGCCCAGAGAATCTGGACAACGCAGAGGAATGGCTGTGCCTGGAATCCCGCCGACTCCTGGAGAGCAGAGTTGGGGGAGCTGTCTCCACCAGATCCCGCACCCCCTCCCAACCACCCTACACAGCCAGCCCTCAGCTCCTTCCTCCTCTCACTGCAGTTGGGAACAGCTGGGCCCCCTGCTGAGGCCCCCAGTCACCTTGCCCTGGCAGCCCCCCCACGCCCAGGCTGGTGCGACCCCCTAATTCCTGCTGGCGGGCCTTCTTCAGGGCTCAGCTCCGAGCTAAAGCCCAGGTGGAGAAGGCTCCCTGCTGGGCCTGGGGCCCAAGCGCTGTGGGGAGGGCAATTCCAGACAGGCGGGGCACTCTGGCCCTGGCTGCAGCATTCAGAGGGCAGGAATCTGGGCCTGGCGTCCCGCTGCCCGGTCGTCTCCCTTCCTGGCCACCTGCAAGCCCACCAGCCTGGCTGCCTGGGCCCACACACCCTTCCCACGGTGCCACACTCTAGCCCTCGCCCCACCCTCCCTGCCACCTGTCTCCCCAGGTCATCGTCCCTCCCTTGCTGTGGCCCCTCGGCTGCTCCGGGGACACCGTCCCGCCTCTGGCTCCAGCCCCCAGGCCGCCCCCTGGAGTGCCCAGCTGCTTGAAATTGCCTTGGAAGCTTCTAGACCCCCAAGATCTCCCCGCCAGCATCCCACCCCGGGGTGTCGCTCCCTGTCATGTCTGGCTGGCCCCCACAGGGGTCCCTTGAGGACAGACAGGTCTGTTCCAGGGTGGCGTCCCCAGGGGCCCACACAGGGTGGGCACGGCAGGAACTCAGCAGTGCCGTGGAGTGGGACTTGGCCTAGGGTCAGTCTCAGTCCCACCCTGAGCGTCACAGACACACCTCCAGGACATGGGCAGTGCCGCCTGGGACCGGGGCCCCAGGGAACACTCTTGCTGGGCGAGCCCTTCCCCTCCCGCAACTGACTCCGTAAAACGAGGACGATATCACATCACCAACCCCGAGAAATGGGGACTAAGGAGCAGCTCCATGTACGTCCCAAAGCCCCTCCAGGCAGGGTCCATGGAGCCTCCTGCTCAGGTGATGCTAGGGCCAAGGCCCCTGAGGCGTCCTTGGGGAGAGAAGTTCAGCCCTGGCCCACGAGAAGCAGGAACATGGGATCTCTGCCGCCAGCCGCCCCTCCCTGGGTCTCAGTTTCCCCAGCTGTAGTGGGAAGGCCTTGCTACGAAGGTGAAGATCCTGCTAGATCCACAATGCTGAGTCCCCGAGAGCACTCAAAGGCTACAGGGTCCTGCGCTTCCCCAGCTGCCCCGTGACCCTCCCGGCCCTCTGCACCCTCAATCCTATACTCCCGGAAGTGGCCTGTGTGAAGTCTCTCTGAGCAAGCCCTGGCCTGCGGGCAGAAGGCTTAGTGTCCCCTCGGAGGGTGCCCAGCCCATCCTCTTGAATAAGTCAGTGGATGAAAAGGCTCTCGATCTGGGCTCCACAACATCAGCACCAGAGCACTGGCCAGCACAGACAAGCCTAGAGGGGAGCTGCCTGGGCCCTGTGTGCCCTCCTCAGGAAGGGGGCGAATACAGCCCAGCAGGGCACATGGCATGGAGCACGGGCAGTGGGGGGTCAGGAGGGTGACAGGGGCACAGATCCACAGGCAGGAGGACCCCAGGAGGGGCTGCAGACAAGAGCCCCCGCAATGTAGCCGGGGGCAGCAAGGGAGGCCTGTCTCAGAGGGAATGCGGGTGAGCGGGTCACAGTCCTGGTAGGCCCCGCAGCTTCCACTCTGAGACCCAGCTGGGACGGGTGAGAGGGTGAGAGGGACCGACCTAGGCCCGTGCCGTGGGGGAGGCCGAGTGCTGCAGGCCCAGACGGGGCTGCGGAGGAGGGGCTGGGCCGCGTCCTCTATGAAGCCCACGGGGAGGCCCACGGGACGGCAGGGGAGGCGCAGGACCTCCAGGCATCACAGGGACGGTGCCCAGGACCAAGGTCCACTGGAGACCAGCCACCAGGCAAGACCGGAGTGCCTTGGAGGAGGGACTCTGGAGAGGCCCCCTCCCCCTGCAACTTGGCAGGCCTGAGACCAGTGGCAGACCCCTGGGCTGACGGGTCCCTAAAAAAGCCAGCCTCCCCTCTCCCAGTCCACCTGTGGTACAGATGTGGGCCAAAGGACCTTTGCGCCTGGGGAGGGCTGGGCCAACTGCCTAGGAAAGGTGCCACCTGTGGGCTCCTGCTGCATCACCTCGGAGATGTAAGGGGCCCCTGGGCCCTTGGGGACATCCACTGGATGGGACCTGCCAAGGGGACTCTTGGAGCCACAAGTGTCACTCTAGACAGAGCATGAGCCAGGCAGGGCAGTGTCTTCACCTGGGCCTCAGCAGCCGCGACACTGTGGCAGTGCCAGGATCCAGGCTGGGGCAGGTTAGCCTGGTGCAGAAGCCCTCCTAGGACTCTAGGCCACAGAAGCGGTGGTCTGCCTACCTTTATCCCCAGGGTAAGAAACATGGCCCCTGAAAGCTCATGTCGCGGCCACGGCCGCCACTGGCAGGGGAATGGCGTGTACCTGAACAGCCACTGTGCCCAGACATGCCCTTTGAAGACCCTGGCAGCTGGGACACAAGGCCTCCAGGTCAAGTGACCCCTGCCTCTACTCAGCAAGCTGCCATGAGGGACCCTAGCTGCAGACCAGCTGCGTGAGGACCCTTCCTGCTAGCAGCCAAATTCTGCATCCTCTTGGGACCCTCCTGCTGTTGGTGCACTGGGAGGTTGGCCTGCTGTGGCCCCAGGAGCCTGACCTTCCTGAAGGGGCTGGTAGGGGTTGCTGGCCAGGACCCCTGACCCTTGCACTAACTGGGCAAGCAGTGAGCCCGTGCCTGGAGAAGACCACAACGCTCTGCTCCGGGCCTGCCAGGGGTGGGTCTGGGGGGTTGCTGGGGCAGGGACCCTGAGGGTTGGCCCCCTGGCCCTCTCTGGGCCCTCCCAGGAAGGAGAAGCAGTTAAAGAGTCAGAGGGCTCCAGATGTCCTCTCCAGGGGTTCTCGGCTCAGTGCTCACTCCTGGGAGCAACGGTAGCCTTCGTGTGGGGGCTGCAGAGAGGGCAAAAGGAGACTCCTCTGTGGACTCTGATACACTCACCAGGAAAAAGGTGTCCTTTAGGGCAGGGGTCCCCAGTCCCCAGGCCACGGACCAGTACTAGTGCATGGCCTGCTAGGAACAAGTTGCATGGTAGGAGGTGAGTGGCA